AAAGTAAACAAAAATTTCTATCAATGATAAGTGTGGTTAGGCACAATACTACGCAAGTAATAAAAAAGAACTGCTATCATGCAAAGCATAAAACTAAATCATCATATGATTAAGCGAAAGAATGGGAGACCTAAAAGACTTAATATATTGATTTATTTGAAGATCAAAAACAGGCAACTCCATGGCCATGAGCTAAAAGCAGCAGCCGTCCCTAGGGGTTGGGTCTGACGGAGGCAAATATAAGGGAAACTTGGTGCTAGAGAGTCCTTATTCCTGATCTAGGTGACAGCTTGTTACACGTGGTACAGATACATAAAAAAAATATTGGCCCTTAAAAATATGTGTGTATCTTTCCTTTTTTTAATTAAAAATTTTTTAATTCATCCAACTGATATAGCAGCAAACCAATGATTTCAAGGGACTTCATAAGTGCCTTCCCCATCTAGGCTATCCCTAACGCCTCCAGTAACCCTAGGTTTATTCCTCCGAGATGATGTGAGTTCTTTTGTGAGTCTGACTGTCCCCCCCCAGGAGCTGATTTTGGTATATATTATTTTTCTGTTTCTCCTTCCCTTCATAATGTTCAATCCATCTGTTTTTTCTGTCTCTCTTCAGTGTCCCTTCTATATGAGTGAGTGGAATATCAATGATTTTGTTTTCCTCATTACATAATTTCACGCCTTAGCATAATACCCCCCCCCTCCAAGTTCCATCCATCCACGAGTTGAAAAATGGCAAGATTGCAGTTCTTTTGGTTTTGCTAATACCCATTGTGTGTGTGTGTGTTTTGTGTGTGTGTGTGAATTGTGTGATTGTGTTGTGTGTATTGTGATGAGTGTGTAGTATGTATGTATATATAGTAACTATGCCATATCCTCTTATCTGCACATTCTGTCACGTCCATCCATCCGGACATTTGGGCTCTTTTCCATACTTTGGCTTTGTTAGTGGGAGTGCTTGCTATAAACATGGGATGATTAATCCTTGAAACTGCTTAGCACCGTATCCCTTGGATAAATGCCTATGAATTAAGTGTGGAGTGCGTGGGGTGTTCTATTTGTCAGCTTTTTAGGGACACTCATATTTGTCTTCGAGAGTGGCTTGCACCAGCTTGTCATTCCCAAAATCTGTGAATCTTTCCTATCTGTGGTGTATCCTCAACTAAAAGCTTTTCTTTTTTAAGATGAGATGGAAGTAGACTTTTTTCTTCAAATCGGCTAACACAATATTACTTAGCCTTCTGGAAGAATTAAATTGTTTTTGCCACTTCATTACCGCAGACATTTCCTGTGAAACAGATTTAGCACTACTAGCTGTAGTGGGATAACACCTGCTCTCCGACATGCTTAATCACCTTCAGCTTGAACCCTGACTTTCACATTACTAATTCTGACTAATTGGTTTTCATATTTTATAAAAAATTCCATTTGTGTATCTTCCTGTATACACTAACTTAGATCTGGTTTTATAAGCCTGGAAATAATTAAGCTGTTGGATTACTGAGATTTGTCAATTCATGTTTTGATCAACTCCAAAATACCTTCAATGTAAGATGTATCAATTTATGTAGCCCCAAAAAAGGACTATTGACCATTGACATAATGCTGCCTTGTGAATGATTTTTTCTTTTAGCATATTGAAAAGTATCTTTTAGCAATATGCATAAGATAGTCTTATAATGAAAGGAAAATAAGATAAAATAAACTGGTTGATATTCATAAATGAAAACCTTTCCCCTATACCACATGATGAAGTGACTTAGAGGTATCCTCACTTTTAGGGCATATCTCAAAATTAAAATTTTAAGTGCATTTTGAGAGAGAGACAGGAGAAGCATGAAAGTGGGCGGGGCAGGAGAGAGGGAGACAGAATCCAAAGCAGGCTCCAGGCTCTGAGGCTGTCAGCACAGAGAACCCTCCATATGGGCTGTAACCCAGTAGTACCGAGACCATGACCCTAGAGGCGAGAAGATGGCGCTAATCAACCGTATAAGCCCAGGACCAAGAGGCATATCTTCAATTTATGAAACATAAAAGTGGTATTTAGCAGACAGTCTCAGAGGATAATGACTATCTTTCCAATGTACATGGGTTATCATATCAGAAATTATTATGTTTCAGCATTTATTCCAATTCTTTTATGTCCTTCGTTGAAGTTTCACATTTTTCAGGAGAGATACCTCATAGTCTTCTTGTTCAAATGGTTTTTGGTTTTTTTTAATTGATGTCTGATATAGACTTTTTTCACTTTAAAAAATTCTGTTGGAAGATGTAGAAAACTGCTGTTTAGAAATCTACAAAAAAACATTACTGAGAAAAAAAATTAAAGAAGCAATAAACACACTAGGAGATCAATGCTTCCATGAAGACTGGAAGATGCTACGTAGCCGAGCACAAATTCATTGCTAACAACTTTTCGAATCCAATTCAATCAAAATCTAACAAGTAGTATTCTTTTGTGAATCTTACAACCGATTCTAAAATGTATATAAAATGCAAGGAGCCAAAAAAATCAAGATTTATTTTTGACTATTTATCAAGATTTATAAGGCTACACGCTCTCAAACCCAGAGATTCTAAAGAGCTTCAGTTCATGTGCTTTTATCATTATATTTATCCACTTGAAATTAAAATGAAACTGAGGTTAGGCACTGAACAGTCATGCATGAGTTGCTGTCCCACTGCTCACCAGGGTCCGATGCTGTCTAGCGGTGATGGCAGTTCGAAAGCCCAGCTCAGGCTCTGGGCTGCATCGCTGCAGCCTGAGCCTGCATTCTCACCCTTAATGTCTCCCCTTCACTGCCCCTCCGCCGTCATGCTCTGTTCTCTCTGTCCCAAAATAAATAAAGCGTTGAAAAAAAATAAAATTTTTTTTAATTAAAAAAAAAAAAAAAATAAGAAATATTCTAATGTTAGTGAAACATACCTAAGAAAATGAAAGCAAAGCAAGCACAGAGTGGGAAGATAATATACACAACACAGATTATCATGAAAACATCACATGAACCCATCATAGACTGTAGACACTATGTTTGACATACTACACATAATAATATATATATATATATATATATATATATATATATATATATATATATATATATATGTATCTTGAAAATGAATAAAGACAAAGACAGACACCAGGTAGAAAAAATGGAGCAAAGACTTCTTAATGGCCCTTTCAAAGAGAAGATATCAATATGGCCAACAAAAAAAACAGAAGAAGGCTGCTCAACCCCTTTACAGTATTAGGGAAATGCAAATTAAACAAATAGGAATTCAAATGGAACAACCACTTTGGGAGACTGTTCTATAGTTTCTAACAAAATTCAAATACCTACCCTATGACCCAAAAATGCACTAAGTGTGGTGTGTTTGTGTGTGATTATATGATGTGTGTGTGTGTGTGTGTGTGTGTGTGTATAAAATCATACAGGCTAACACAATAACTGATACACTCATAAAAACTTGATGAACTGCTATTACTGGGCAAAAGAAGAACAATTGAGAGTGCCTTTTGTTAGAGTCCTTTACATGAAGTTCAAGAATAGGAAAGCAAATTACAGTGATAAGTCAAAAACAGTATTGTCAGGGGAAGCTCTGGGTGGTTCAGTGGTTAAGCCGTCCGACTTAACTCAGGTCATGATACGTCTTGATTCGAGTCCCCGCTCGGGCTTCTCCGATGCTGACACTCGAGCCTGGAGCCCTGCTTCTGTTCTGTGTCCTACTTGTTCTGCCCCTCCCCCCTCCACTCCATGCTCTGTCTCTCTCTAATGCTCGAAATACCTAAGTCACACCATTTCTTGAAAAACAGTATTGTCAGAATACGTAGCTTCTGACTGAAAAGTTGCATAAGAGTACTTTCTGAGTTGATGGAATGTTCTTCTCTGAGTAGTGGCACATGCACATATAAAAACATTTTCAAAGTTAATACATTTAGGTTTGTTATTTTACTGAAATACACACTCCTCAATATCTAACCCACAAAAATCCATTACATATATACCAGAATACTAATAAAATTATGCAATGACAATTCCAACACCCGAATAAGCAACAGTTTAAACAACAGGAAATCTCATATACACTGGTTGGTAGGAATCAAAATATGTGGAATCAATTTGGAAAACAGTCTGCATTACCAACCCAAAATTGAAGACACACAAAATAATTCATTGCAGCATTATTCATAATTGCTACCTAAAAGTGAAAACTAAATGTCCATCAAAAAGAGAATAAGATTAGGACTAATTGTGATGTATCTGTATAACAGAATAGTCGAACAATGACACATATCTCTAGTCTCATAAAAACATGGATGAATTTCACAAAATAATGTTGAGTGAAAGCAGCCAAAACAAAATAAACCAAACTAAGCGTTCCATTTAAATTGGAACGTTTACAAAGTTCAAAAAACAAACCAAGTTTAGATGCAAATTTCCTCTGTGTCAGTAGAAAAGTAATAAAGTAGTATATACAAAAGTCAGAGTAGAATTAAGTTCCTCTTGAAAGATAGGAATGAGCATGAATTTAAAAGGCTTTACGAAAGAGGTAGCATTATAGGTAGCTGGAGGAATATCAAAGTTATATTAATAGTACCTGATGTTTTACAGGTTATGTGTATACTAGTAAAAAAGTGACACAATGATCTCTTCCATATTGTGTGATTCAAACAAAGAGGTAAAAAGATCAATAGGAGCCTGGTAGAGTGGTGATTTGGTGGGGGAGAGGAGGTGGAAAACAACCAAGAAATCCTGTCAAGTTTTCTATTCACAATCTGCAAGAGCATTATTACCTTTCCTACGAGACAAAAAGCATTTCAGGGTAAAATCTTATAACATCTTGGAGCACATTAAACTTACTCGCACTTTGGAATGCAATCTAGAGATGTCCAGCAGTAGACATTAGATTATCAGATCTAGAGTTCAAAAAGAAGAGATATAATTGTGCAGGCCATAGACATAAATTTGTCCAGATATAATTATGAGAAAAAAAAAAAAAAAAAGTAAACAAAAATTTCTATCAATGATAGTGTGGCATATTAACACAATACTACACAATAAAAAAGAACTGCTACATGCAACATAAATAAATCTCATATAGTGTTAAGCGAAAGAAATGAGACACAAAAGAAGACTTAATATATTGATTTATTTGAAGATCAAAAACAGGCAAAACTAATTGATGGCCAGAGGCCCAAAAAGCGATTACCACCAAGGGGGTTGGTACTGACTAGGAGGCAAATATAAGGGAAACTTTGGGGGTGCTAGAGAGTCTATTTCCTGATCTAGGTGACAGATCTTGTTACACGTGTACAGATACATAAAAAATATTGGCCCTTTAAAATATGTGTACTTTCCTTTTTTTTAAATTTTTAAAAAATTTTTTAATTGCATCCGAATGAGTATGCAGCAAACCAGTTTCAAAAGGTGGATTCATAAGGTGCCTTCCCATTTATTATCCCATAGCCTCAGTAACCCTCAGGTTGTTCTCCATATTGTGATCTCTTTTGTTTTATTATTTATTTTTTCATAAATATTATTTTGTTTCCCTTCCCTCACTTGTTCATCCTGTTTTTTCCTGTCTCTGCTTCCAGAGTCCCTCTATATGAGTGAGTGTATGCAGATTTTGTCTTTCTCTGATAATTTCACGCCTTAGCATAATACCCTCCAGTTTCCATCCACGTGAAAAATGGCAAGATTGCGTTCTTTTTGGTTTTGCTATACTCCATTGTGTGTGTGTGTGTTTTGTGGTGTGGTAATTGATGTATTGTGTATTGTGGTATTGATGATGACGTGTGGTAGTGATGTATGTATAATGGTAACTTACTGGCCAGTATCCATGCATATATCGCACATCTTGCTGTCATTCGTCCATCCATACCGGACATTTGGGCTCTTTCCATACTGGCTAATTTACGTGGGAGTGCTTGCTATAAACATGGGAGATTAAATCCCTTGAAACTGGCTTTTACACCATCCCTTGGATAAATGCCTAATTAATTACCAGTGCTGGAGTGCGTGGGAGTAGTTCTATTTTCAGTTTTTTGGAAGACACTCCATATTTGTCTTGGTGGCTTGCACCAGCTTGCATTCCCAAACTCTTGTGCTTTCCTATCTGTGGGGTGTATCCTCAATGCTAAAAGCTTTCTTTTTTTTAAATTGAGATGGCAAGTAACTCTTTTTCTCAAATGCGGCTAACACAATATTACTGCCTTCTGGAAGAATTCACTGTTTTTCCGCGCACTTCATTACCGCAGACATTTCCTCGTGAAGTTTCAGCACTACTAAGCTGTGTTCATGGGATAACCACCTTTCTGCTCCCGACATGCTTAATCCCTTCAGCTTGAACCCTGACTTTCACATTATAATTCTCCAGCTAATTGTGGTTTTCATATTTATAAAAATTCCATTTGTGTGATTTCCTGTATACCACTCAACTTTAGATCATGTTTTTTAAGCCTGTGGAAATAATTAGCTTTAGGATTACTGAGATTTACAAATTATGTTTTGATCAACTCAAAATACCTTCAATGTAAGATCACAATTTTATGTAGCCCTAAAGGTTATTTTACCCACCTGACATAATGCTGCCTTGTTGGTAAGTTTTTCTTTTAGGCCAATGAAATATTTCTTTTAACATATGCATATATGAATTATTACTTATAATGAAGGAAAATAAATTAAAATAAACTGGTTGAATGTTCATAAAATGAAAACTTCTTTCGCCCTTATACCACATGTGAAGTGACTAGAGGTATCCTCAATTTTAGGGCATATCTCAAAATTAAAATTTTTAATGTTTGTAGAGAGAGACAGGGTGAGCATGAGTGGGCGGGGGGAGGAGAGGGAGACAGAATCCCAGCAGGCTCAAGGCTCACAGGCTGTCAGCACCAAGAACCCTACAGGGCCCGAACCATAGCCTGAGACCATGACCCTAGAGGCAGAAGAAGATGGGCTTAAATCAACCCAGGTTAAGCCCAGGCACCCCAAAAGAGGCATATCTTCATTTTAAACATAAAAGTGTATTTAGCAGACAGTCCGAGGATAATGATATCTTTCCATGTATTGGGTTAATATCAGAAAAGTTATGTTTCAAGCATTTATTCCAATTCTTTTATGTCCTTGTTGAAGTTTCACATTTTTTCAAGAATACCCCATAGTGTTTACTTGTTCAAATGTTTTTGGTTTTTTTTAATATGATGTCTGATATAGACTTTTTCACTTTAAAAAATTCTGTTGGAAGGTAAGAAACACTGTTTGAAATCTACAAAAGAAACATTACTGAGAAAAAAAATTAAAGAGGAATGAAACACACTGAGACAATGTTCGCAGAGAAGACTGGAAGATGCTAGCTGGTAGCCGTAGCACAATTATTACAACTTTGAAATACCGAATTCAATCAAAATCTAACAAAGTATTCTTGTAAGAATCTTACAACCGTTCTAAAATGTATATACAAACAAGGGAGCCAAAGCAAACCAATTATTTTGCTATTTTATCAAGATTTATATGGCTTCCCCTCTCAAACGCAAGAGATTCTAAGAGCTTCAGTTCATGTGCTTTTATCATTATATTTATCCGCTGAAATTAAAATAAACTGAGAGAAGCCTGAACAGCATGATGAGTTAAGCGTCCATTTCAGCCAGGTCGCGATCTGCAGCGGTCGTGAGTTCGAGCCCAGCGTCAGGCTCTGGGCTGATGGCTGCCAGCCTGGAGCCTAATTTCAATTACAATGTCTCCCTCTCTCACTGCCCCTCCCCGTTCAGCCTCTGTCTCTCCTCTGTCCCATAAATAAGCGTTGAAAAAAAAAAAATTTTTTTTAATTAAAAAAAAAAAAAAAACTAAGCAAATTTCTAATTAGTGAAACATACCTTTTAAGAAAATGAAAGACAAAACAAACTACAGAGTGGGAAGAGATAATATACACAACACAGATTATCATGGGAACATACATGAACCCATATAGACGTAGCATATTTTGCACATATATACATAAAATATATATATATATATATATATATATATATATATATATATATATATATATATGTATGTATCTTGAAAATGAATAAGACAAAGGCAGACACAGGTAGAAAAATGGAGCCAAAGACTTTTAATGGTCCCTTTCAAGAAGAAGATATCAATATGGCCAACAAAAAAAACAGAAGAAGGCTGCTCAACCTTTACAGTAATTAGGGAAATGCAAATTAAAATAAATAAAGGAATGTTCAAATGGAACAACCACTTTGGGAGAGCTGTTCTATAGTTTCTAACAAATTCAAATACCACCTACCTATGACCCAAAATGCACTAGTGTGGTATTATTATTGTGTGTGTATTATTATTGATGTGTGTGTGTGTGTGTGTGTGTGTGTGTATAAAATCCATACAGTAACAAACTTGTCCACTTCTGATAAAACTTGGATGAACTGCTATTACAGGCAAAAGTGAACTTGAGAGTGCCTTTTGTTAGGAGTCCTTTTACATGAAGTTCAAGAATAGGAAAAGCAAATTTACAGTGATAGAAGTCAAAACAGTATTGTCAGGGGGCGCCTGGGTGGCTCAGTCGGTTAAGCGTCCGACTTCGGCTCAGGTCATGATCTCTTGATTCGAGCCCCGCTCACGGGCTCTCCATGCTGACAACTCAGCCTGGAGCCCTCTTCTGATTCTGTATTTACTTGTCTCTGCCCCTCCCCCACTCATGCTCTGTCTCTCTCTAATGCTCGAAATCGCCCTGCTGCACACCATTTTTTGAAAAAACAGTATTGTCAGAATAACAGCTTCTGACTGAAAAGTTGCATAAGAGTACTTTCTGAGGTGATAGGAATGTTCTTCTGAGTAGTGGCACATGCACATATAAAAACATTTTCAAGTTGTACATTTAGGTTTTTTGCATTTTACTGAAATACACCTCAATAACCCACAAAAATCCATTACATATATACCAGAATGGCTAATAAAATTTAATAGACTGACAATTCCAACACCCGACAAACAGGTAGAACAACAGGAAATCTCATACACTGTTGGTAGGAATCTAAATTATTGGAATCACTTTGGAAAACAGTCTGGCATTACCAACTAAAATTGAAGACACACAAAAATGTTCATTGCAGCATTATTCATAATTGCTGCAAAGTGAAAACAACTTAAATGTCCATCCAAAAAAAGAGTGAATAAGTTAATTGTGATGTATCTGTATAACAGAATAGTCAGCAATGACACATAAACTCTAGCTCCGTAAAACATGGATGAATTTCACAAAATACTGTTGAGTGAAAGCAGCCAGAATAAAGAATACAAACTAAATGGTTCCATTTAAATGGAACCGTTTACAAAGTTCAAAAAGCAGGAAAAACTAAACCAAGTTTAGATGCAACCTCAGGTAGAAAAGTAAGAAAGTGAGTATCATAAAAGTCAGGACAGAAGTTAGTTACTCTTGAGAAGGAGGAAGAGTATATTTGATAAGGAGGGGGTTAAGGGAGGGCTTTCTGAAGACAATAGTCTATTTGATGACCTGGATGTTGGTTACAAGGGTTATGCTTTGTCATTACTACGTCAAAAAAGATGCACAGCTCAATGTCTCTTCCATATGTGTGTTACAAATCAGAACAAAAAAGGTTAAAAAAAAAAATCAATGGGACCTGGTGATTGATTGGATTTGGTGGGGGAGGGGAGGGTGGAGAAACAACCAAGGACAACTCCCAGGTTTCTGACTTGCACAACTGCTGGGGCAGTGATGCCTTTCACTGGGATCAGAAAAAGCATTTTCAGGGTAAGAATATTAATTAAATCTTGGACACATTAAACTTATAGCACTTTGGAGATACCTAACTAGAGATGTCCAGCAGGCAATTAGATATGCAGATCTAGAGTTCAAAAGAGAGATATAAATTTTGAGGCTATAGACATAAATTTCCAGGCTAGAGATATAAATTTTAGGTTCATCTGTGAGTGATGCCATGAACACGGACATGACTGTTTAGAGAAAGAAGACTAACAAGAGGGTAGGGCTGATTCCTGGTAAACCAACATAATGGGTAATTGCAGGAGGATAAGCCAGTAAAGAAAGCTGAGAAGGAACCAAGTGGTAGGAGGAAAATCAAGAACATGTCATGAACCATTAAGCAAGGGAAGAGAACGTCTCATGAGTAATAAGTCACCCACTGCAGGTTGATGCATACTTAAGAGAGAATATGGCTTATGTGCAATACTCAGCAAGCCAGTTTTTATTCCACCTCTTTCTGGTTGATGTGAGACAACAACCCAAGAGAAAAACCAATGCTTCTGAGAATGGCTGAAAGTTTCTATGTTATCTTTAGAAGTGAGCAATCAAGGCCCTTCTCACTGTTCTTTCTCCCTGATTCTCACGAAGGAAGAGGACAGATTTGAGAGCACTGATTGGGTCTGTGTGATACTGGGTAGAATCACCATTAAAAGTTCAGCACACGAGTACAGGCTCACTTTTCTGCTTCTTCTACATGACTAGAGTGGTATGAGAAGCCCTCAAGAGGGTTTCTCTTCTCTAAGTGAGAGCCAGGGCCAAACCTACTACTTGGGCAGAAAAGGCCTGAGGCGTGTGGCCAAGGCCAGAACAGCAGTCAGCCAAAGCAAATGTGTGCTTTGGTTACACAGCCCTGGGCACTGATAGGAATGAGTTAGAGCAGGCTTTGCTCACATCACAAAGGAAAAATCTAGCCATGTTTGAGAGTTGGGGAGATGAAAGGGGTCCATAGCACAGCCTGTTTTAGTTTGAAACAATTTAAGACTAACTGGATTAAAAAAAAAAATTTTCCACATGAACCCAGCTGGGCTCATTACATTCTTTTGTCTTGGGAGTTTGGTACCCAAGTCCTAGTTAAGAATAAATGCAAAGTATTTTAGTTTTTCATTTGTAAGTACAAATATTTAACATAAATTTCTTCCTTGGGGTGCCTATAGACTTGAAAATAGTGGTTGCAGACTAGAGAAAATTGTTCCTGGGATCCATGACCAGGAATACCATCATAAAATTTCTCAATTTACAGCACCACATAAATCACATACAAAACAAGACCACAATGGGCATCTAGGTTAAAATGATAACAGATTAGTAACTCCAGAAATAGACACAATATGTTACTTGATGGGAAGTTTTGAGTAAAGGTTGACTCCCAAATTCATCTAAAAATTAAGTACAATTCTAATCAAAATCTCATTGAGATGTTTTTTAGAACTCATCAAAATAAATATTAAAATTCACCTGAGATGGAATAGCCAAAACATTTTTTAAAATAAGCATATTTGCCCTATCAGATATCAAATTACTATTTAAAACCACAGGGCAG